TTTATACTGAGTGCAGCCGAGTGAAGTAGATCTCCACACTGATTTCTGATTAATGAAGGCCTGTCTTGCTTTTCCGATCCTGGCTTTGATGTCCGTGGTGCGTGTAGCTGGGGATTATGAATAAAATGAATCCTGAATAACCGATACAAATCCATTTACATTAAATCGCACTGAATGACTGTTAGTTTGGAGCCGTCGTGAATGATACAACTTATGAGATAAACTATCTGCTAGACTTTAGTGGAGCTGTGCCCATACTTAGCGTATACTTCTTGTTGAACAACATGTAGGCTTCTTATGCAACTTCCTCTACCTGTTTCGGGGTGTTTCACAACCTAATACTGGACCTAGGCGTGAGAACCAGCAGTGCCCTGTATAAAACGTCGAACCTTTATCAGGGCAGTATTTCAATTTTACTTGACACACTTCGCTCAATACACTGTAGATCTGTGGTATCCAGTCATCCAGGTGGTCTATATGGATCGGAAATGCAGCCTTACAGTATTGAAGGTGGCTTGCAATGCTATGAGCACATGTCAATTTTAGGAAACGTTATTTTTCAATTTTAAGTTTGCAAAAGAATCGTGGCGAAATAATTAAACCGGAATGATTATTTATAAAATGAATCATCCGAATAGGATAATGTAATCATTGCGTGACCTGTATCACGAGGGGAAACTGGCCTTCGTTCTTTGCTAGAGGGCCTATATAGAGGGCGGACTGACATTTCTACCACCGTCTGCACGTTCAGGGGCGTTGTAAAAAGAGAAATGACAGCAACCACACCGCAAAACAAATAAATTTTGAACTTTACAGGAGCACAGTGACTGAATAGAGCTACACGAACGAAAGACTTCAAAAACTACAATTCTTTCCCATTTTCAAATCCTAGTTGCGGCCACATCTAGATGTCTTTAATACGGTGGCTCCTCCAACACTCAAGAGAGACTCTAATCTCCTTGAAAGAATACAAAGAACTGCAACAAAATCTGTTATGGGACTAAGGGGAAAGACATATCCTGAAAGACTTAAACACCCAAACCTATTTACCTTGGGTTATCGTAGGAAAAGGGGTGACTTCATTATGGCATACAAGATTGCCCATCAGCCAGACCATGCAAACAAATCAATTTTGCCTGCAACTGAACGATCTCCACGAGGAAACACCCATTAAGATAGCACACCGGAGAGCCGACACCATACTCGTGCCCAAATTTTTCTCCCTAAGAGTATGTGCTTTATGGAATGCCTTACCGTGACACATCGTTATAGCTCCTTCAATCGACTCTTTCAAGAGGCGATCAGACAGTTATGTCACCTCGCATGGACTACCACGGACGTACTGAGGTAGTCACCAACCTCATTAGCCCCAACTCCCTCCTAACTACCACTCACTATCTCCCTCCTTAATACACCCACATTACCTACTAATTCTTCTGTAGGAACCAAATCCACGCAACCATTCACGCAATTCCCAAATACTTTTTTTTCGTTCCTATTTCTCTTTTTCACCCCTGCTTTTCTTCTCCTTCCCTTCTCGCTTCCCTTGTTATTATTTTTTCTTCTTTCTCTTTTTATTCTCTCTTCATTCTTTTACCACTACCTTGCTATTCTCTTTCAGGTACCTACACAGACAGGAGTCACGGTAGTTCCCTAAACTTCTCAGCAACCCGTAGCTCCCTAATCACTCTACAAATTACAACCTACTAACCCACAAAACATCCACCTGACCGAAGCTAAAAGCAAGAAAGCAGAGGGTATTTCCTCGTCCACTGCAGGAGTGAACCGAACAACTGGAATCAAGCCCTAAGAATTGGACACGAGAGATCAAAAACTACCAGTTTTCTACGCTCACACAATCAATATTGGACATTGGATTGGATCTGTATCTGGATGACTGGTGTTGTAAAACACGAAGTCCTGGGCTTTTTGTCTTAAAACGCCACTTTAAGGTCAGGTAATCCATTCAACCGCTGCTTCAATATTATTGTAGACAATAGTTTTCCTGGCTTAAAAATTCCTGTAGAGCATGAAAACGTCGTCAGATTAATTGGATACTGATTATCTTGCCTTTTTCTATCCATGGAATGAGTCTTTAGGTAATAACCTCAGATACTTTTCAGACCTTCGATGGTGTTTTGATACAAGTTCATAGCTCGGTATCCTTAAATTACAAGGTTTGACTCTTAATTTGAATTCTGAATCTGTTTGTGACAACTGACAAGTGGACGGCTAAACAAGTCATTGTAGAACCCTCGACCATTTGCACCACTCGACCCCATAGAATTCTTGACCAAGAATTGAGTGTTTATCGTATGCTATATGGGGTCTAACTAGTAGACTCGTATTCCAAGTATGAATCCTTTTTGTTGAAACGGGTTCAAGTGGTAGAGGTTGTAATAATCTGTTGGTTCTCAAGCTTAAGCTTGATGATAATCAAAATTTCTTCGATTTCCACTTCCTCATTAACACACTATATTTTAAGCAATGCTTCTAGCCGTGTATCGTCCCAATCAATCTCATCTAACGTGGAGTTGTGGCTAATAAAGTTGCCTATCAAGGCATATGTCATCTTTAAATCTTATTGTGACTTTCAATGTTGAGGGTTAGTTTTCCATTACTGAAGTTCGCAAGGGTAGTGCAGGAATTTTACATGAAATATCCAGTTTTGAGAGCCTAAACTGACCACATGTGCCATTTCAGTTTTCGCAGCCTGAAACCACCACCCTTAATTACCTTTGATACGAGACCATCCGGCCTTGCTACTCTTCTTAGTGTGAGGTTTCTTACAGCCTCCTCGACTTCGGCAGTTATCGGTAGCCATATCTCAATTTTTTATTCAGAATGGAATTAGGTAATACTTCATGATACAGTAGCTGCAGGGCAGTTAAACTGTTCCTCAGTGTTCTGCCCACTGGGTTGTCTCCCCTAGGAGTGTATAACAAACCCATCATTAGTTGTAGTCTCAGTATATGTTGGCCGTTTTACACTACTTCTCTTGACAAGTGTAAAGGACTATCTACTATTATTTATTGACGCTACCTTTTCATCTCAGCCTTCGCTGCCCACCACTGCTCGCGGTCATTTTGTAGACTTCTTTTCAGTCTAAATTTGAGTTGCTTCCACTCTTCATTGTGCTTGGAGCTTGAAAAAATGCATTCGTGTGCGGTAGTTTGCACTGTAACGGTAACTGATTTTTGTTTCATGACCATCTAGCTGACCTATCCGGAATGATAGGATTTCGACGAAACAAGCGTTCTACCAGTATGACTCATTGGCCATTGTATTGGACAAACCCAACGACCACGTCATAAAGATAGACATAAATTGTGGTGTAGCGTCACAGATTTCTCCAAAATAATGGTCTAGGGTTTGACGAGATTCAACACTCATGCTGACCTTGATAGTTTAACTGAACTCTCTAAGCTGAAGGCACTCGGTCAAGCATCCTCACCATTTGGCACGCCGTCGTGTTACGTTGTACTGCTCGTAATCGACTCTCTAGCCAGTTAGTTGGAACGCATCGGTGTCTTGGTACGACCTCTCAAATATACTATTCCATCTGACTACTCTGTTGTGTTCTTGGTCTCGTATTCGTGGGTATATAACAAGTTCGAATAATTAGTGATTGACCTCTGCGTCTGTCGAGTTCGCACCAGGACAATTCCTAAAGTGATAACACCACAGTCGAATCAATGATAAATGATCAATTTACCTTGAGCGAGATGCTCTTATCCTCTAAATTATTCAATTTGGAGGTTTGTAGATTTTTTAAATTTTAAATTGGATTCATTGCGGACTGACATCAGATGAAGAGAAATTGAAAACTTAGAAGCACAAGATATCTGTTTCTTTCCGGTATGGGATTTATTAGCAGTGTGCACCCATGACTTCACCAGGAATCGAATACAGGATAACCAGGCTTCGTGGCAAGTATATTACCACTGATCCTCTGGGTCGGGATCCAACGGTGCACATTTTCTTACCTCACTCAGTTTGTAATAAAGCATGACCTTCATCCAGTGCCGTCGTTGAGTACCTGCCTTTACATCCAACATCATGGCTCCTCACAAGAAATTCGGGAAATCCCATCTCAGAACAAGTGATGAATACCGAGATGAAACTAATAAGACCCCACAAACCTCCAAATTAGATTACTGTCCAGTGCTCATTAGGGATTTTTTTTTGAGATGAGATCTCCTGAAGTCCTAGTGAGGAGTCATGATTGATGGGGCAAACCAAGTTGGATGTAAAGACAGGTATTCAACGACGGCACTGGATGAAGGTCATGCTTTATTACAAACTGAGTGAGGTAAGAAAATGTGCACCGTTGGATCCCGACCCAGAGGATCAGTGGTAATATACTTGCCACGAAGCCTGGTTATCCTGTATTCGATTCCTGGTGAAGTCACGGGTACACACTGCTAATAAATCCCATACCGGAAAGAAACAGATATCTTGTGCTTCTAAGTTTTCAATTTCTCTTCATCTGATGTCAGTTCGCGAAGAATACCAAGTTTAAATTATTTTTAATAGAAATTGATATAATTCTGTTCGATTCATGAGAAGTATCGGTACATATTCCGTCCGTCTTTGTTTGGCAACAGTTCTGTTAATTATCATTTCCTCAGACGCGAAATATATATGTTTCATCATAGCATTCTCTTTAAGCGTGTTTTACTGAGTTCCGTTGAGACGGCAGTAAAATTACTGTACATTGTTGTTTGAAAAAGCTGAACACTCTCTGAACATGAAAAGTTGAGTGCAGTGATGTCCCTTATATTGTCTTTTACTTTTTTGAATCCAGGTGTATTGCTTACTACTTGTTAGAAGAGTCAAACAATGTACCTTTTCAGTAAAATTTGTTACATTGCTGCTCATCTCAGTATGGTAGTGTTTGAAATTTTCTTTAGGAACCAAAATTTTGGATTCTCAAAAATGGCGTTTAAAAGAACTGCAACTTACTAGTTTCACCGCTTTCATCTACCCGTGACTGAGGCATGAAATGCTCCAGGTAGTTTCTTTAGACTTGATTTATGTTTTCTTAGACAGGAGCAGATATTAAAAGTTATTAATGAAGAGAATGTTGATATTGAGGAACTTAAAAAATTGTCCATTGATGGCTGTCCTGATTCAAACGGTATTCGTTCCAGAGTATGGAAGGTAAACTAATTTATTGATAGTTTGCAGTTCCTTTTAAACTACCTACCTTGCAATGTTGAAAAACGACAAGAACGGGTTGCCTTCAACCGGAAACAATATGAGGGTTATGTAAAAGAGTTTGTATTTGAATCTTGTGCAGCAGCTGCTATGCCCGCTGACCACGTAAGCTCATTTTCAGATAGCATCATTTCAATCACTTTATAGCCATTGAATTTGCAACCAGATGGAAATTGGATAGCGTTTTTTAGAGATAATGAAGTTTTACTGCAAATAAACAAAGATTGCCAGCGTTTGTGTCCAGACTTTGACTTTTTCCGACGTCCTACAGAATATTCTTGTCTATCGTTGTTTGGAAAAGATGTACCTGTTGGAGCATTGCGCAGAAGAGGTGAAACTTCAGCTCTCCAGGTACGCAATGTTAGTTTACTAATCTTCTTCATTTTCTCAGCACCAAAGATATTTAAGAGTGATGTACATTTAATTACCAGCTACTGGTCCTATGTTGTCATTCCTCACTCCACGAATTACAATTTGATTGTTATGTATTCATTAACGCAGTTTACATCTGAGTGTTTAAGCGCACTTTATCTTATTTTTGTTTTTCTTTGCGTTGAGATCGTTCTTTACGCAGATTTTGTCGATTGTCCGTTGAAGACATTTCTCTTGCAGTCGTGTTATATGGAAAAAATGTTTTTCATCACAGTTATCAGTTGAGAACCTTTCGTAAATCAGCGCATTATGTACTTCTGTCAAGAACGCATATTATAATGTCCTTCGAGTCTATGCTGAAGCTTCCTAGTCGTGCACCAGATACATGATTCAGTCGAGGAGCTCAATTGGAGTGCTTTTAATTTCTAGTTGGTTGTTGTCGCCCTTAAGTCACTAGACTGGATCGATATGAGACATTCTTTTGGTTTAAGGGACTGTAAAATTAAAGTGTCAGACAGTCATCTTTCTGAAAACCCACTGTTGAGCGTTATGAATCAATTTCAAGTTTGTAGACCAAAGGGTTACATTAAATTTCAGTATACTTTTCATTGTGATCATTCCGTAGCACTGAAATAATATTATGTATTGTCAAGTGAGGGCTTCTTGAATGGTGCGAAAATCCATCTAATAATTTTTAGAATATTATTGATTAGTAGCAAGTGTTTCTTAATTATTGCTACATTATATAGTACTATGGTATTGCTGTCTGGTTACCTTCTGCTGAGAATATGATGTAGTCGGTTTGAAGTTATTTTTATGACGAAATGCTGTACGTTCTTCTTTTTCTACAGTCTCGGTCACTCAATAAGAATCTTGTTGGAGTTACAAACATGATTCATTTATCTACATTCGATCCCTTTCAACCGAGCTATCGACTGTCTTCAGGTTTGGCAACACATTTACAGAAAACTAGGGCAAGCCGGAAATATGAATGTAGTTTGATGTCACCGCACGAAGAACCCCACTGGGAGGTGATCGAAAGGATTCTTTACATTTACTACAAGACTCATGTATCTCAGGGTTATGTTCAAGGGATGAATGAGATTATCGCTCCAATTTATTATGTTTCGCCACTGATCCAGATGAATCTTGGAGAAGTAAGTTTAATTCATGTACTTGGGTGCGTATGCAGAATTGATATGCAATCTGTAAGCGTAATAGTTTTCCCTTACTGGTAAAACACTTCTTACTTCGTCTTTAATTATTTGGGTTACGGGTGCTTTATTCAGTATTCTAAATCGTGCAACGATGAAGAGAAGCGGAGAAAACTTTGTTCCGATTTGCTTCGTAGGCAGTACAGCAGACGCAATCGAGAAAAAGAAATCACAGAGTGGGAAGTTAGTCTGTTAAATTAAAATTCTGCAAGTGGGTGTAGATAGCTACTTTAAATATTAGGTTTCCTTAAGCGTTTATCAGTCTTCATATACAGTGTTTGAATCATGCGATGAAACTATCAGCCATATTGTCCCAATGAAAATATGCAGTGAAGAAGCTTTCAAGTTGATTGGTTCAAACATTACTTGTAGTTTATAAGATATCGTGGTTGTTCGGCAACAATAAATGTGCACTTGTTCTCAAATCTGAAAAGGATGTAGGTGTGTAATCAATTCACTTACTGAAGTCTCAGAATTTTTGAATGTATCCACTGCAGTGGGTTCCATTAGATATGTTGATTCACTCTACAACGCTTGGAAGCAAATGCTAACTCCATGGTGCCAAGTTTTCCACTAAGGGGTGTGATGAAGCATTTGTGATCGAACAAAAAAAGCTCTGGAAACATCAAAGCACTAACATAGGTAAGAATGTCACTGATTACGGATAACACTAACCTTAGGGATGTAAAAAACTAGCATAAAATGTCTGAAAAAAATGATTTATAGTTGAGTATTTTTGGATTTCTCACTGAAGTAATAATTATTTGCTATAGACACCCGAAACAGCTCACGACTTCTATGACTTCAAATTACATGTAACTATTTACACGAATGGTATTCCTTTAAAAGTGTACTTATTATTGTTGTTTTTTACTTTGATGAAGCTGTACCTCAATGGTTTATTGAGATAACTATCAACTAGTGGGTCACGGGTTCGAACTCCACCCCACATGCTGATGTTTGGGCAGCCAGGTAGTATCAGTAGCCTCCACACATTATGTATGCCTAATTGTGTTCTGTATGAATGTAAACAAAGTGTCTGAGTGCGTTACGTTCTGTTTCACTGCAGTTTTTATCTCAGTATAGTGCTGAAGAATAAGTCATTTAAAAGAAAGATTTTAGACTTGTCTGAGGGCAACCATTCGTATGTGTAATACAGCAACGACTTCTGCTTACGACCAGTGTATAGTTTAGTGTATGAAATCTTTACTCTTTGCCACTAAATGATTAGATGATGCAACGCATGTTGATATCGATACATCGAATTGTGTGATTATGTTATTACAATGAACTTTTGAAAAAGTTTTTACCTCGATGTTATATTATTGTGACTTTTTAAAACAGAATATGCTGAAGTGGATACATTTTATTGCTTTAATAATTTGATGACTGAGATTCATCCTAATTTTATACGTAAATTGGATAATAGCCATGAAGCTGGATTAGGTAAGTGTTTGCGAACTTTCTTACCATATTTATATGACTTGTTCAGATGAGTTTAGAACTCAGTTTGCTTGACAATAATTAATAGCAGGCTCTTTTTAAGCATAAATGGTTCACGTGATTTGTCTTAGATTAATATTTACAGCTTGAAAACATTTTTGAATCAAGCAAAAAGATATTACTCGTTTAGTAGCGACTAACTGGCGTCCATTCTTGTATTTCGCAACAAGCATACCTGAAGGTAAATAGGCGAAGCTTACAGTTTTTGAAGCCTGCATATAAATGTTTATTTGTTGACTTTTGCAGAATAAATGACCACATACCAATATGTTACCTTGGTTTTCAGGTTTTTTAAAATGTTTGATGGACAGAACCCCGTTAGGATTGTGAAAAGTTATTTTTTCTAACTGGGCCATCTTTTCAGCTGTAGTGTCGATTGTCTTCTTCTTCGTCTAAACCTTCATCTATTGGCAATGGTGTTGGGCTAAATCTTCATCATTTATTCAGGTCTCAGGACAGATAGAACCTCGGACACATGTGTGTTAGCTGAAGTTGCCACACTTCACAATAGTGTACAAAGAACAGGTGGATAGAAGTGATATCAAAGTGGGAAAAGTTGCTAGCGAATAAGCAACTTGAAGATAGAAGTTAGTGTGAATATCCAGGCTTTACAAGAAGTCAAGGAGTGAATACACCTATGCCACTGTCATTGATTTTCAGCCATGTCACTAAAAGTTCTCAACCATTGGTTCCTATCGTCTCGGAAGCCCCAACCAGGCAGTCTATATTTCCCCACGTGACTCAGGTCAGTAGTAAGAGACTTCATCCACTGGTGCATGGTCTTAATGCGGCTACCCTGAACGCTCTTTCCACCTAGTGCAACTTCCCCCAGCATGAGATATCGAGGTAGGCGGTGGCTCGGCATGTGCAGTACATGTTTAAGCCATCTTAGTCGGCTAAGGTTCACAACCTTGTCGATTGACTCAGGATAAAATAAGATATCTAGTCAAAAGTGTTAGATATTGATGTAGCAATACAAGTGGTGAAACTATATACATTGTCTGAATAATAGCAGCATGCGCGGATGTAATATGACTTTTAGACATTCTCTTCATCTCACGTATAGCTTTTCACTATGTGTTACCCTTTTTGATGAAAAAAAAACTATGTTCTATTTCTTTTTTCACACCTGTAATACCATGTGGATTTATTGTTTTACTTTTTCTGCAAGGCGGACAGATGAAAATTTTGTCAGATTTGCTGTCAAGATTCGATAGTCATTTGTCAAAACATTTCTCACAAATTGAACTTGTACCCGAACATTTTGCATTTCGATGGTTGAGTCTGTTATTGGCACGAGAATTCATGCTTCCAGGTTTGTTGAAACAGTTATCTTGTTTGTTACTGCTACTGTTTCTGACATATATATATATATATATATATATATATATATATATATATATATATCGCTAATTGACAGAAGAATCAAAATGCGGGCCAATGGGTTGCGGCCCAGGGGCTCGATGGCGACACTTATGTGAAAGCTTATGCTTATTATGTGTTTGTTCAGGTCAAAGTAGTTGGAGTGGAGGAGGATTAGTAGAAAGGCGTTGATAAAACCTGACAACTTGACCTCTAGGTGTAGCAGCATGAAAGTTTTCGAATAAATTTCATCAAAATAGAACAGAAGCTCTTATGCCTCTGCATGGAACTGTTCATTGTGATGCCGTTAACGCACCACCATGTTTATGGTTTTATCGATTTCATCTTACCTTCATAACAGATTTTATTCCTGACTACTTTAGTTTATGTATTGTTTTAATCTGCAGTATATATGAACGATATAATGCTGTGGTGCGTTACGACTAACTATTGGACAATGAATTCTCAACATAGTATTCAGCTGACACCAGAAAAAGAAGACATTAGGATTGAATGGTGCGATTAAAGCTGAGAATTCAGTCGTTTATATACTTTAGAAAGGGTCTTGGCCAAGGGAAACAAAACAGCATATTAAAGGCGTAAAACGTACCAATCAGAATTTATTAGATTTAGATTTTAGATTTTACAGTGATAATATGTAGGTACTATGTTAGTTTTTTAGGGATCAAACATCCCTAATACCTACATTTAAAAAGGATCACTTAAAAATGATCGGATACTTAACTTGTGTAAATTACGGGATCAATAAGGTAAAATTTGTACACTTTTTTAGCTCTACCGGTATCCGGCATATTCCCGTGTAAGCTATATGTGCTGCGACTAGCATTAATAGTCATTATTTCGTTCAGAGAAGTGTGTGAAATGAGTAATTTTAAGCGTAATTTACAACAATCTCTTCCTTTATTTTAATATTTTTAATCCAGATTACCATATTTAGCTTATATGGCAAGATGCTGGATACCAGCAGTGTCTTTAAGGCGTGGTATAAAATATGTTGAAAGTACAGAGCCTTTAATATAATACTTATACTGAGTTGTTATCAGATAGTTTGCGCTTGCTTTTTTCCGTTATCTCTGCTTTGCGTGGCTGTGTTTCGTTAGTTTAGACACATGACCTCCAATTAGTGAGCCTTTGGTGAATGCACTGATTCAAATGCTAAGGTCTAAATAGTTAGATAGTGTTATTATCCTTCATGCGGTACATTTTTATGCGTTTAGCCTCGTATTTATGTCTGATTAATTTTATTCTTCAGCTGGTGTTATTCATTAGTGTTAATTCTTGAATTGTTCTTTTTGCAGATGTACTTTTGTTATGGGATACACTTTTCTCGGATCCACACCGATTTAATTTACTTCCATATGTTTGTTGTTCAATGTTGATGTAAGTTATCCTACGTGTTATTTCAAATATTTGTTGTTTGCAGTCAGTAATGTATATATTCAACTACTTGTTGATTAAGCTTAAATTTATTTTGCTTAAGACTGACTGATTTACTGCATTTTGAGGTGTAACATGACAGTAGAGGGAAGGAAACATATGCATCCAGGTCTAACATTTCTCATGCTATTGATTATGTTACTTATGAGTAATTAGTTTCATCGTATAAGGTGTATTTTTATTTGTGGGCTTCGTCTCTTACTTTCAACCGATTGAGTGTTTGTTGTTGTCTAGACACTTGCGTTTTCTGACTGGGCGAAGTTACATGCTGGCGTTCAGCCATATCGAACTCGTCATTTTCATTGTAGATTACAAGTTGTATGCTGTGTAATTACCTCGAATGTATGTGTACAAATTTATGCACTAATTATTTTTCCTATGTATAGAACCACTAATTGTTACGAGAAAACTAGTCTTCTGAATTTACACGACTCCCTGGTGCATTTATACGGGTGAATCTTACATGTATAGGGGGAAATGTCAACTTGTTTAGAGTAGAGAAAAAGTTTGAATATACTGGACTGTGTGACTCACTACAGTGACTGTTGCCAACTAGTTACCTCTAATATACTACTGTGGTAGCCCACTTGTAGGAAGTCGAAATCACCTCAGCTACCTTGTGCATATTGGTGCAGTAGGCAATGAACCACACCTGTCTTGCGAGGGATAATGATACTACTTGGCTGCCCAAACCTCTATAGGTAGGGCGGATTTCGGACACGTGGCTCAGTGGTTGAAGGTTATACCCACTTACGTTGGCTGCTAAAAGCTTGATGGCTTGTAACTGCTTCTTCATTTCGCTGTTGTTAACAACCTAACAGGCTTTTTTTTTCTCAGCGGACAGAGTCGTTTAAAACAGAGAGCTACTAGGAGGTATATCCGAAATAATACCTTCGTCACTCTGGTCATTAGATATAGAGAACTTTGTTTAGTTTAAATGGTTTTTACTCACAATAATCAGTTTTGGAAGTTATTCGAACAACATTACTGTACATGATTACATAAGTAGTTGGAATTTTATTCATTAATTTATTGGTAGATTTCACACATTTTCATTTTGCTTGTCGAACACAATGCTTCATGTAGTTGTGCTACCTGTATTTCGTCTGGCTGCCCACCTCGAAACTCTAAGCATAAACTTGAGCTTCTACAGTTCCCAATTCTATGGCTAGGTAACGAAATTTTATTACTTGCAGTGACGGTAACAATAGGAACCTCATGTTTGTACTTTATATACTGGATTTACTTCAGCTTGGTCACAAACTTCTTGAAGGGTATATGAACTTTAGAACCATCTCATGGCCGACGTATTGTATTAACCATCAATCCCTCTCTTCCCTTCTTTCTCTACCTGTGTAAAGGACTTTTAGTTTGTGTTCTAGCATCAGAAAATAAATCTCCGTAGATTACAGGTGAAGAAAGACAGTTGATACTTGTAATTTCCCGTTGCTATATGTGGTCAGATTGCTCGACCTCTGTTGGTAGAAGGGCTCCTACACGGATGTCTCGACACTGACTGGATATTCATCATATTATAGTCTATTTGGTGGCTAACAGGGGGATCCAGGATGCACGTTTCGTCCTATTTGGGGCTCGTCAGCCGGACATACCTTCACCCTAGAGAGTAGTGTTGTTCCCACTGAGACTGGGACCTAGTACCCATCATTTCAAGCGCCAAAGCGGCCCCTGGGGCACGAGAGCCACCGCTTTTGCAACGGCAGTCTCAGTGGGAACAACATTCGTTAGGGAGCAAGTACGTTCAGTTGACGAGTTCCAAATAGGACGGAACTTGCGTCCTGGATCCCATTGCTAGCCACCAAATAGACTACAAAGAAAGACAACATTAGCTTGTTCAAGACGGCTTTTTTATTTTTCTTAAGAATGTATCATACATCTTTCATTCTTGTGTGTTTATGTATTTATTCCTTCATTTTGGTTATAGAGGTGTTCGTGATCAACTTTTGAAAGCAGATTTTCCTGTAGCTGTCCAACTTGTCCAGGTAAGTATACTCTCAGTACCACTGCTATTATTAATTGTTGAATGTTCCGCGTTTCACAGTTGGTACGAAACTGAATATTCTTGTAAGTAGTATTGAAGACCTGTTTAGTGATTGAGATATAGAGACAGGCAAATCAACGATGAACCTGGTACAAAAGTGTAACGGTTCAAGTTGAAATTATTTATGGCAGCTTACAAAAACAAAGTAAATAATGGGAAGACATTACATTAAAAAAGTGTATAGGTAGAAAGAGGATAGTTACTCAGTGATGTCACTGGATGAAGGTTGCGCTATATCGAAAACCGAAAGGAGTAAGAAACTATAGACCGTGGAACTCTGATCCAGTAACTGAATGGTTAACGGGCTCGCCGTGAAATCTGAAAGCCATGAGTTTGATCCCTAGCCAGATCGTGGGTATATACTGCTTAGAACTCCCATACTATGACGAAACAGCTATCCGTTACTCTCAGTTTCTCGTTGGTTCTTTAACTGACATCACTCTGGGATGAATGACAATTTAAAGTCAGCATGTCCCCATAAACCTCCAAAATGAATTATTTTCATATTGCTGAATATGTTAATTACCGATCATCCAATAGTTTCACATTTGCTGTGTAAATCTGAATGTCAGTCAGCATAAGTGTTCAGGTTTAAACAACATTTAAGGTGTAATTACTCACACTGGTGTACAAGTTTGATTGGGAACATGACTCGATTTCTTTGTTTTTTATTAAGTTATAGACTGGAGATTTACAATCTCAATATATTAATCATTTTGTAAAACGGTTAAATAAACTTGATATTATTTCACCTACTCTTATCTATTTTGTTGCGGTTGTTTTTTTCACGATTACCGCTCCTTGTGTGAAGGGCACAGTTTTGATGGTATAACTTGTAGATATACCAAAACTATGCTTTACCTGTCGCACAAGGAGTGGCAATCGTGACTTAGTAGCCCAGTTTATAACACTCTGGCGTTTAAAACGATTAATCCTCAGTCCAAGTCTCAGTGAGAACGACATCATTTACTGGAAGGCAGGTAGATCCATCTGACGAGTCCCGAATAAGACGAAACTCGTGTCGTGGGTTTCAGTGCTGGACAATATCTACGATTAATATCGAAATAAGTAATGGATAGGCTATTGCAGTTCATCACATTTTGTTTGTCAGTTTACATTCTTTTGAAGGCATATGCACATTGTGAGGATGAGTTTTAATTTAAAGCTCATGATGGAAAATATTTATTCAAGCAGATTTCACAGCATCTAGGATTAAATACTATGATAAACGCCAGGAATTCAAGTTTTTTTCCAGCTGTAAAGTATGTGTTAGGCATCAGCTATTAGATGAGCCTATAGGCAACCTTCAAAGTGTCATACAGAAATTATCCTATAGAAATTTGTAAATATTGTGACTAGCTATTTCCTATTGTCGGCGGGTTTATACTGAGTTGGTCATTTACTGTTGCCATATGAGTTCCTGCGCAGATATCTCATTATAGTCGGTAATTTCATTTCGAATAATAGACGCTATGTGTTCCAATCTCATTGGAAGCAGCAACACTGGACCCGATGTATATCTATCCTTAGATTCCATCATTTCTAGTTGAAACGAGTATTTTAGATTCCACAATTATCCCTTAATATCAAAAATAAGAATATCTAAGTTTTTCGGAAACCATAACTATACAGAATTTTAAAAGCTCCACAATGCATGCATTAAGAGATAATTTGCTCTCGAAATAAACCTATTTTAATAGGCTGTTTTTCAGTAGTAGTGTAACATCGATTATTCAACATTTTTTCTTGTTGTCTCCTTTGTGCTTAACTTTTTCACTACCCTAATTGGTTTTGTTTTTGGAGTTAGTGTGCTGTGATTAGGTTTTCAAACAATAAAGGCATCAGATGTTTCAGAACACAACACAACATAACACTTTCGAAATTCATCTCTAATAAATTGACTGTTTCACATGATCAAATTTTTTTCAATTCTGTATAATCTGTCTAAAGTATATTTCAAAAGGTTATTTTGCATCAAAATGTTGCCGAATAAACAAACAAGTTAAATCTGTTATACTGGTTACACTGAAATGAAGCGTTGAATTTACTTGAAGAGATTGGAACCTACAAATTATACATAATTGCATCGATATTGGCTAATACGTACACTTACTTGTTCTATTTGAAATACTTTTTACAAGTTGGGTCGTAAATATTTTCAGTAGCAATATTTGTTAAATTGTCAGTTTCATAGTCTCTCCAAGCTAGTTTTGTCATTAATTCTGAATTTGAAATTGAAGTTATTGAAAGATATTTATGTTGTTGAAATATGTATCGCAGATGGAAATCGATGTTTAAGTGAAGACTTATTCTGCGGCTGCGTGTTAATTAGTTTTTGTTGACACACATCTTGTGTTGTTACTTGTATTATCCCGTCGTTGATTGGATCGAACTGATCAATCCCGCGTCTGAGTCGAAGTGGGAACAAAATCGGTCATTGGAAGGCAGGTACATCCAGCTGATGGGTCCTAAATAGAACGAAACGTGTGTCGTTGTTCACTTTGTACATTGATAAGCCTTATGGTTTATCTTTAGGTCTCACAGTAGATGATATTGAGTTTCTTAGAAGTAACTTGGATGGGTTTATAGTGGTCTTCAAGCACTGTTCTAAGTCGAGCAGGGGAAGGCAGTCTTTTCGGTTGGTGTCTACGTGACAACAGAAACCAAATGGTTGGAGGAGACCGCAGGTTGGGATGTGGCTCAGAATCGATGTCAGTGGCACACATATCCCCACACATAAGTTTCATTTTAACCATCATGCTGGATTTCGTTACTCTCTCATTCTCCCTTGTAATATTTTGATGACTTTCACTTTCAATTGCTTTCTTTTTAATTCTATCTATCATCTTAATACATTCTTGCCTAATGTGCTGATATGAGGTGAGGTAACTTGGACCGTTACGCATTAGAGGTAGGTTGCATGTTGATATTGGATAGTTGACTGACTGATCTCCCACTTATGCTGTGGTAACTCGCAACTTTCAGTTTCAGCCAATGGGTTATGGATTCGAAGCCTACTTTACTAGCTACCACAAAAAAGTGTGGTTCATTGCCTAATGTAAGAACCTGTACACGATTGCTGAGTTAACATAGAGATCTACTGTTTCGTTTGGTACTAACATTGTTTACATAAACCTAGAAACTGTAGGGATCTATTCATTCGTATCGTCTGTAGGTGTTGTGTATCATAGGATAAATAAAGAAATCACTATCACAAGAGTTGTGAATGGTTATTAGCAGTGAAATTCAGGATATCCGTCCCATCCTATTTAAGCCTTTTGAGTTGGAAGTACTTGTATCTTGGAGTTATTGTTTTCACTGAGACATCAACTCCAGCACTCATCGCTTAAAATGCCAATGTGTTATCCATTGGGCTATTAGTTAAAATATGTATCCACACCTTATGAAACAAGTACAGGCTAGTATTTCAACGTGTTATTTCTTCTTGTTGATTGCTTTAAATCGATTTCATTGACTTGTGTTAGCTTATGAGTTAATGTGCCGATTGAAAGAAGGGCTACCTAAGGGATACCTAAGTCTTTGCAAGAACTGGCGCGGAATCATGCTCCTGTCCACCCCAAGCAAAGTATTGAGCCGCATCATCCTGGAGAGACTAAAATACGCTCTGGATTCAAAACTACGACCATAATAGGCTGGCTTCAAAAAGAACAAATCATGTGTGGATCAAATTGCAACGCCAAGCTACTCATCATCATTGAACAGAGTATATAGCATGGGAGTCAACTCTTTACCTTAACTTCATCAATTTTGAGAAGGCCTTCGGTAGCATCGACCGAGAAGTAATTTGGTAGACAACTGCTTCAGCACTACGGTTTTAGTGCCACAAACCTTTATCGACCTCATTCAACAGCTATATGGTATATGATGCTACATGCCAAGTGATTCACAATGGAAAGCTGAGCTCAGTGACGCCTTTGAAGTGAAGATAGGAAGGAGTGAGACAAGGTTGCCTACTATCACCGATCATCTGATTGTGGTCGAGTGGACTGGACTAGATCATGCAAGAAACTGTGAGGAGCGAGGAGACGATCATATACTGGACCGATGAGAAGACCCTAGAAGATTTGGATTTCGCCTATGATGATTTATGTTTAGTGTGTTGTGGCACAAACTCGAAGATCTACAGACGAAAACTAACAAGTTGATAGAAGAGGCAGGTCAGCGAAAACGGGACTTCAAGTGAATGTGGAGAAGATGAAGGTGGTGAAGATACCCAACCAACAACAACAACAAGCACCAATCACCATCAACGGGAGAAACCTAAGGGAAGTAGTCTTTTTCACCTACCTAGGCAGCATCGTCTCAACTACAGGCGGGCACATGCACAGATGAGGACGTCAAAACCAGGATCGGAAAAGCGAAACAGGCCTTCACTAATCTGAAATCAGTGTGGAGATCTACTTCACTTGACTGCACTCAGTATAAAGTGTGAACAATATCCGGATTTTCAACAATAATCCAGTCAAGTCAGTGGTTCTATGTGATGGTTGAGAGACTTGGCGCGTTACGAAATGGATTTCCAACAGACTACAGACATTCATCAACAGCTCCCTACGCTCGATACTAAAGATCAGATGGCCAAAAAGAATAAGCAGCCAACCAAGAACCGTCACCCAAGAAATATGCAGGAGAGGAAAGTGGAGATGGATTGGATTGGGCATACACTGCGAAGACCATTCCGGGACATCATACGTCAGGCCAGGCCCCTTGAGTGGAACCCGAGTGGGAAACGACGAGTTGGGCGTCCCAGCTGGAGGTGACATGGAGGAGATGGTGTGAGGAATAAATGGAAGCTACTGGGCAGTTGTTGTACCAGGTTCAAAAGACCGGAGAGAATAGAGTGGAATGGAGACGTGCTAGGAGCCCAAACGACAAACAGTTATAAAAAGAACGTGAGTCAACATACAGGTACCTCAGTATATCGTTGGAGCCCGTACTCCACCAATGGCTTGACGATTCGGTTTAAATCAATCAGTTGAGAAGGGGGTATTGCTGTTGCATGCATCACTTGTGGTCATGACTTCGATAAGGTTGTAAATGAAATCCGATGGAATAATGAGTTTAATAAAAGGGCCTCCAAGTATATTACCAGCTTTATGTACCTTTATTCTACCCGGTGGTTTTAATTTCTTCATCAATATCTTTAATCTTGACCCTTCACTGTACTAACCGTGGTAATCCACTAATATCATCTTAAGAACGCTTACCTCATATAATTGCTTCTAATTATTCTCTAATTGCAATAAATCTTCGTTTTCATATATTTATTTTATGATTGAAAGGGAAAGCTCGTTGGGCATTTACATGATCTTAATGATCAAAGTGGTACATACATGTTTTTAAGGGGTCGCTATACTGTCAAACAGTCCACTTCATCCATCTTTTCAACTTTGAAATGTGGCTGAAAATGTAAAAAATTGGGGCCTTTCAATCATTGGTATTTTCAAGAAACTACTCAGGTCTATGCCTGTATCACTCAATGAACACTGGTATGCTTGAGTTTAGAGTTTTAGGTAAAGAGGGTTATTCTAGCGGTCATTTTATGAGCATACACCAACTGACGTCAAAACAGCATTTATTTTGGTGTATTATGCTGTTGAGTAGAAGGAGAAGCAGATAAAGTATTGATAGTTTCATCGAATGGCGAGAATTCTTCGACAAAATAAAATTGATTCTAAGTTGGTATTCATCATGAACTGATATCAGTTGAAGGAACATTGGAAACACGGTAGCACTAGGCAGCTGTTTCGTCCTAGTATGGGACTCTTTAGCAGTGAAATCATTAAATCCCTACAAACCCTTAAGTTGAATTAATCTAGTGCTTATTGGTGACTAGCTTCGAAAGGTGGTTCCTGAAGTTCCAATGAGAAGGCGTGACCGGTGCGGCGAACCTGGTGGTCGTGAAGACAAATACTCAGCGACGACACTGGATGGTAGTCGCGCTATGTCATGAACTGACAGAAGTTAGAAATATAAACCATTGGATGTCGACCCACTGGCACAATGGTAACTTGCTGGCCACAGAACCTGAGAGTCCTGGTTCGACTCCTAGCGGGGTCATGGATGTGCACTATTGAGGAGTCCTATATTAAGACGAGAAAGCTGTCCAGTGCTCCCGGGTTTTCAGTGTCCCTTCAAGTAACTTGAAATAAATCAATAAATCCCTAAAATACTCAAGTAGATTTAATGATGTATTTATTGTATTCTATAGTGTGAAGTCCTCGTAGTAATAATTGAACTTTGGTTGCATCATTAAATATGGAGCATTCAATAAGAAACATCTTCATATCAATTAGACCGAATCAAATATGAGGCCAGATATTAGATCATAATAGCGCCCGTTCTACCTCTGATCCGACACTTCACTAAGCCGCGAAAATGAGAAGACAAAGACCGGTCTGCGATTGTAAGGAAGACAACTTTACTTGACAGAAAACTTATTATTTATGTACAATTTTTCCTCAGAAAATAAAGCCACTAGGTTAGAAGTTGGATACTTATTTTTATTGGTCAGCTGAAGGACAAGGTTTTCCAGTAAGGTGTTTTCTACCCACATGGTAACACAAAACAAAGTTGGAATCCAAAACTTCCACCTTGGTGACTGATGACTTAGAATGCTGATTCAGGCTACTTCCTATCAGTTTACAAAAATGATGTTGAGAATTACCCGAACAAGATGTGACAATAGTGCATGAAATCACTAACTTTTTATCTGAAGCGTGTAGAGAGAAGCATTGGAGGCAAGGTTAAGATAACTAGGTAGTAATTCTAGACGTTATCATACAGGTAAATGAAAATACAAATTTATTCTCATGTGTACTTTTTAAACATCTTGTTTTCTCTTCTCTTTCCTTTTTCTGTTATATACAGAACTATCCGTCAAACATTGATGTAATGCATATTTTGTTAAAAGCACGAGCATTTTATGCAGAATGTTTTTGACAATTTGTCTACGGAAGTCTGTTACATGGTGTTGAAGAAGCGCAGTTTATATGTCTGCCTCTTCAAGTAATTTGTTTGGTTTGATTATCTCTTCTTTTTGTGCTGATTTAATTGTAATCATTAATCACATGTGGTATTAATTTCCAGTGGATAACAAACTTTTTTTCTAAGTCGGCCGTACTGTTTTTTCTTCTTAGTAAAAAATTATGATTTATATTCAAATATCCCTTCATATGTTATTTATATTCTTCCTTTGGCTCACGTTTGTCTTCTGTTTTTACAGTTGATTGATTTTGTTTGTGATTATTATTCTCTTCTTTTTTTGTTAACTCTGCTAACTGCCGTTACAAGTGTTGTATATTTGATTTTTGTATGTTTTCAATGTTATTATCCTGTGTAGAGGTTGTTATTACAGATCTAATTTATTCGCTACTGACTTTACAGTTATGCCTGGTGTTGATACGAATTGACTTTTTCTCCGTGGCAAGTATATATCAGTACTTCTGTAATTTTGCAAGCTTAACTGTTCTATCGTTATATGTATATCTATAGAAGGGGACTTTCGAATTTTTTTTGAGGGAGTTGTGGAGATTCGGAAATATTTCAAGTTGTTATTCATCTTAGACTGACATAATTTGAAGGAACAAAGGAAACCTGGGAGCACTGGACAGCTGTTTCGTCCTGGTATGGGACTCCACAGCAGTGCGCACCCACGACCCTGTCAGGGATCGAACCCACAACCTTCAGGTTCTGCGGCCAGTGCGTTACCATTGAGTCACTGGGTCAGAATCCACTGGTCCATATTTCCAACTTCTGTTCGCTCACGAACTGGCGCTCATTAGTGACTAGCTTCGAGAGGTATTCCCGAAGTTCCAATGAGAAGTCATGACCGGCGGAGTCAAAGCCTGATGGTCGTGGGGACAGTTACTCAACGATGACATTGGGTGGCGGTTGCGCTATATCGTGAGCTAACAGAAGTTGGAAATATGGACCAATGGATTCTGACCCAGTGACTCAATGGTAACGCACTGGCCGCAGAACCTGAAGGTTGTGGGTTCGATCCCTGACAGGGTCGTGGGTGCGCACTGCTGTGGAGTCCCATACCAGGACGAAACAGCTGTCCAGTGCTCCCAGGTTTCCTTTGTTCCCCCAACTGATGTTGGTCTAAGAGGACTTTTGTTTTTTTATCCACTTGTTACTGGTCTATAGGTTGCATCAGTTTTTATCTTCCAACAGTGCATGTTATGGTTTCGACAAGACCCCGTAACCATCAAAATAAGTTTAATGTTTACATTGATTGGTCACTGGAGAGCAATGGATTTCATGTTGTCTAGTCCTAATTGCTGACCGAATTCTATCGCTCAGTGTACAATGTGACCACTAGGCGAAGAAGCTCACTGTCGCGGATGTAATCATCAGGAATCCATGTGCTTGTTGTCTCCGCGATAATAGGCCTCCTCGCTTAGCGGACGCATTTGAAAATGATCGATGGAATTTGGTCAACGGTCAGAACTAGACAGCATAAAATTGGTTGCTCTCCAGTGACCAATCAGTGTATTTAGTTTAGTCCTGTAGGAGATCAATCGCGGCCCGAATAGCTCATTGGTAACATCATTGACTGCAGCACTGGGTGACATGGGTTCAACAAGCATGACACCTAGGACCAGGGCTTCCTGACGATTGCCTCCAACCAACTAACAAATTTACTACGGTTTGTTGACAGACTTGTAATTCTCCGTTGTTATACAGCATCGAATTGTTCGACCTCTACTGGTATATGGCCTCGTATGCGGATGCCTCGATATTACCTAGTGGATAACGCTTTAGCGTTTGAAGCGATGCTTACGAGGTTCAAGTCTCAGTGGGGACAACACCACTCACTGGGGTGCAGGTACATCCAGATAAGGAGTCTGGAATAGGATGATACGCGCATCTTTGATTCCTCTGCTGTACACAACCAAGTAAACTAACAAATTTACTGTTTGCAAATTGTCTTCTTTATGTAGCGCAGTTCGTGTAGCAAAAATGATTATTCTGCTGTTGATGAGGTTTAAACATGGTGCACTGTTTTTAATCGGTTTAAAAATCTGGAATTTGATGATTTTGCCTCTAAATGACATTGAATGTCATTTTTGAATTTCAGTGTATGTCGCGGAGCTCAAACGGAGTGTACAACTCATGATTGATAAAAGTTACATGAAATGAGTGTGTCCTTGGTACCGAATTAAAGCTTTCGTGGTGACGATTTATACGATTGGTCTCATCGTATTCACTGTGTGGTCGATGTTCATACAAATGGATGTCACAATGTTTTCCATTTGTATGAATATTGATCTATTACATATTTCTATCCTCACTGTTGTGAATTCTCACATCTGACAGGTAAACCAAGTATTTTAGATGATGCTGACAAGAAAGAAAGATGAACGGAACGTGTAGTTTGAATGTACTTCGTCAGACAGACAGACAAAATCAACGTAGAACCTAATACACAAGTGCATCAGTTCCAGTCGTCACCCTTCCCAGTAGTATACAAAGACCGAGTGAATCGAAAAAGATTAACATCAAAGTAGACGAAGGTTTATGAGGCAAGAGAAAATTTTAAAACTAAGGTTAGTCAAAACATTAAAGCTTCAGAAGAAATTAAGGGATGGAAACATCTGTGCCATTATGGCAGATTTTCAGCCGCTTTGTTGGTTGCTGGACAGCTTTAAAGACATATTATTGGTGAAAAGGACTACTATTAAACCGAGAGACCAAGCTAATCTGCTATTGACTGATATATGATCAGTACTCAATTTGAGAGTCCATGTTAGGAAATTGATGCTTACTTACATGGAGCTGTAATCTAAGTTCACGTTTATTTGCATAGCTTGTGATGAATGGGAAATGAGTCGTGGTCTTTACTACAACTGCAGAGGAAGTGCTGTCCATCTGTCTCTTCCCATAAATAAGTCATAAAAGTACTTTGTCAAAAATGATTTTGACAGGATTGGTGGGAAGAAAGTGCTACTGTGTGGTGTTACAGCTCAGTGTATTTTTTCCTTACTTGGAGCACTTAAATATGCTGATCCGGTAGACACAAGAAAATTATCAAACCTACAGAAGTTAAATAAATTGGTATTATTAGTCGCTAATGTCAAGGAAAATTGAGTTGCTCCGCAGTACATAATATTCCGAGGGTAATTCAGTTTATGAAACGTAACTTAATAGCAGTGAGTTCATGTAACATGAACAGTAGTAGTTGTAGTCTGTAAGCGAATATATAGAAGAAAGAACTAGCGATACAATTTTGATACGTATTAGTTACAACTGGCGTATATCCCTCATTAACTATCTTTTGGGTGGGATCAACGAAACAACTTTCTCTTCATATTCATGTTCATATTCAGCCTTCTCAACTGTGACGAGGGTTGGAGAAGCGATATTCACTTCACATTCAGGTTGTGGTTGGATGCTGAAGAGCGGATACGTTGCTTTGGGCCAGTTGAACTATGCTTCAAGGTGTTCTACTCAACGTTCTAGTTGCCTGTCCTGGGAGGGTATCAGGATACCATCCTTTCCGGTGATGGTTTCGCTTACCATCGTCTTCTTGCCGGTTTCCTTAGTAAGCCTAAACAGTTGCCGAGTGTTACCCAACGCTGATGCCTTCATCTCTGTCACTTTCGTCAACCATCACTACTCGCGATTGATGCGAAGACTCTTAGTCAGTTGCGTTGCTTTCGCTCTTCATTGTGGTCAGCCAGGTGGAATCAATCTCCCCACAACAATCAGTTTGGATGACGTGATTTTCTCATGTTTGGATTTAGGTCACCAACTGTCTTTACCGCTGTTTCTATATCAGATTTAAATATCGCGTCAGGTTTCCTCAGGATGAGAATTGCTGTCAAGTTTACACAGATACCAAGCAATCTTCTCGCTAAATATGTACTTGAAATTCTCGTTTTCCAATGAAGCACACAGGTTTCACTGTCAGATGTTTTCTGATAACAGTAAGGTGTCAAAATCCTTATTCACCTGACTAATGGATGATGACAACCTAAAGCATAATCTTCATGAAGAGTGGCGATCCCCCACCTATCTTCCCCAACAATGGATTTGAAGAATATGACCTGTCTGTGTCTATCGTTGCCTCGGCGTCGGTGGACGTTAAGTGAAGCAACATCCCTCATGTTTGAAATCATTGCTGACCAGCAACAATTGATTTCCAGAAAAAACTTTCAACAGACGATCATGGTTTTTAGTTCTTTGGCATGAAATTCCGTAGATACCTCCGAGAATCCTTTACGACTTGTTCAACTTCCCTACTTGAGCGGTAAACTCGCCTGTTATTATGCTTATATTTGTGCTTTCGATAGAATTCATTCTTCGTATCATCCGAACTGCAGTTGGTGGGTGCATAGGGGGAGATTATGAATAGACGTCAGCTAGTTTCAAGATCCTGCCTAGTTCTTACAAATCCATTCAGTTCTACAGCAAACAAACGATTGTTAACCGGTTTCCAGTCGAAATATGCCTTTTCACTTGAGAATTAAGCTCTGTACCTATATCAGCGAGTCCACAAGAGTTAGCCGTTGAACCATTGAACACCAGTAAAGAGAATTTTGAAGATTCATCATATTGACCAGGTGAGGCCAAGTTAATGACCGCACTTGGATCCTGTAAACGTGTTTCAGAAACGCAACATACATCCAAATTCTGAGATCTCAAGGTTTGGGCAAGAGATGCCAGCTATCCGATTTGGCATTAGGTTCCAATGTGAAGCCAAGAGCAGGGTCTTAGGAGACTTGGATTGTTGACAATGATCATGTGGTAGGAGGCTGAGGGATTTTTTGAAACTCTTAACACTGGTATTATCAAGTGAATGCAAAAAAAGACAGAAATGGGGAGGAGAGGTTTTGTTTGCTAGAAGCGTATGGGCAGTTGATTATTCCGACCTACCGCCTTCGTGGAAGGCTATTTTTTCTTGAGGTGTCTGAAAAAGGAGGGTAAGTAAATGA